TCGATCTATACTAGCTCGAGATTTAAAAAGCTGCTCTTATTAATACGCGTAAGACTAACAGTCAGCAATCAACGAAATCTAATGCGAAGTTAAGAACAACGATTTGGGTGAATACGAGACCCGCTAGTATAATTAATTTTTTACCATGATAAAAGAAATTAATGCATTGATGTATAATACTGAATGATAATGAAGCGAAAATAAACATCATGTTTAACAAACTCTAATACATTGGTGTTTAAGCATAAGCAATCTTGTTCATATGGCCAAGATATTTCACCAACTATCGAAACTAATAAAAAATCGAAAAATACACTCAAGAGTTCACGTAAAGGCATACAGAAAACTGACTAGAAGCAAGTGGAGATTAATATGACCCAAAGTTTCAGTTCTAACTGAACAGATTTACTGTCGGTCATTACTTTAGACGTAACCGTAAAAGAATAAATGCTAGCATTTTTTCATGGGCTCTGAAAGTAATCATTAGATATGTTAGGCGCTTCAAATGTTAACATATTGCTATTTTATATTATCTACCGTAGCGAACTTTTAAATTCAACTTATGGTACAACTTAGATTTATTTCAATTACTGATCATTATCAATCGACCAACAAAACGCTCTAAGATATGAGGAGCCTAGATACCCTAATCTCATAAATTTCTATTCATAAATCGAGTACAAGAATTATTTACATAAAATAGTAATCATCATAAATTAAAGAGATGATGTTAAAGAAAAGTATTACATACGAAAAATTCATACCCAATTTCAATGATATCGACATCGGTAAAATTCCAGCCAACACTAGAGAACTCTTCAAGAATCTAATTTTTAATATAGTAAAAATAACATCCCTATCATTAATAATTATAATTATTGTTGCTAATTCTTACTAATCACTTAAAACCACAGCACTTACGCTATTTTGCAATTCAGATTGAAATAAGACCGAAGATTTATGATATTCATCTCGGTAGCTAGGAAGGTATGGTCGATTAATTATATACAACTGCATCAAGACATAACCGCACCCTTTCACATCATCATCATTACAGTACTTGCCAATACATAAATCTACGGACAAATATAAATCAATTTAATTAAAGGAGAGCTAATGATCTATCAGTATATTGATATACGTGTACAGCATAAGTTATATCACTGTACACCTGATATGTTAAAAATTGTTTAACAAGAATTAAAAGTTATGGAAATCCTTTACCACAATGACATATGGTAGTAAAAGTAGGCCAAGTATGGCGCGAGACTGGAATTTATAACTTCTAACTTCTAAAATATATATATAGAGTAGAATTAATCTTGGCTAGTAAAAAACTTACCGAGATGACTGATAGCAATTGCTAACAGAAGATAAAGTTTTAAACACATCTTGCTAGATAGAGCGATTTTTCGTATTTGTATAAAAGTATAAACAAGTTTTACAATTGAATTGAATTTGTTGAAAATGATAAAAATATCAGAATTTTTTAAGATATTTATCTATCAATGTTGGTATTAATTGAAAGGATTTTATTTTAATAAGCAAAAGGAACAAAATGATGATGATGATTGATAATACAATCTTCATGCGCATAATAGCTATCAGATATCTACGGCCTTTCAAATGACTTAATAAATAAATATTGAGGTATTTAACAATATTAAGAATGTTATCAAGATAGCTCTAATTAGATTAGAAGAAAGAATGTCATATCTTACCATTTATTCCCTAAATAGTTTTTATTTACCGTCTGATTTCAAGGTAAGAATAATTCAATTATTGATCAGTTCATTATGTAATTGAAGCTTTCAAGGGCTTATTTCCTGCAGTAAAAATCAATTCAATCTCTCATTGCCGCGATGAGTAATTACAGATAGAACTGAGCAATGGTCATACAAGAAAGAAATAGAAATCATAATTTGTTGCTTTATTCCTTCTAAGCAATAAAAACATCAAAGAGTAATCTTAAACAACACTTTTAGCATTTCGATGAATAGATATCAATCTCGGAATTCTTTACTTTTTGATAGTGCAGTAGTGTCGACGGAGTGAAAATTCGTTAAGCATATAAAAATTATGTATAGCCATTGAAGTAGGGTAGACAATAAACTGATTTTATTTATTATCAAGTATTGATATCCGAAAGCCATTCAGTGGAAAATGATTAAATGTCCTGAAAGGAATTTGCATTGTTACATGGATCTTAAGGAAAATAAATGAATAGAAATCGGTGATGCTTAATTACCATAAACTCTTCTTAATAACATCAAAGTCAAGATAGTCCACAAAGGAAATTAAGGTTAAGAAAATAAGCAATTGAAGACAAGTTTCTATCTAATTTAATCCTACATTATGACATCTACTTTCAATATCAAGAATAATGGGTAATCAGTGGATTAAGATGGGATTTCTATGATATTACTTATCTCGACTGAATAAATTAGTGTATGAACTGGCTTTTATTTATAGATAATTTATGCCGACTATTCTGTTGCAGAGTTTTCCTAGGTATCCCAAATTGTTGCAATTATCAAAATCAAATTAAGTTCTCAGAATTATTATTGAGGCCAATAAATTTAGCTTGGATTTCTATGCTATTCTCCTCGATTTTATCGTTAATGTATTATTGATTGATTCTTATTCAAGATGATTTATAGCAAAACCTCCTATCAAGTTTTCCTTGGTCTCGTAAATTGCCGTAGTTACAAAAAGGTTTTCTCTCGTGTTTGATTATTATTGTTGATATAGAGTAATTAATAATGACCAAACTTGTAGATCCGTCAATATAATCAATTTATTTCGTGAGGAGAGAACGAGAAGTTACCAACGCGAAACTAAACCAAAGCCGATATGTTACCAACGACTAACAAGATCAAAACTAATCATATACGTGTAATAAATAATTACAAATCTCTTCGATCTCCTTATCTCTTCTTTATTTAAGTTACATGACCTTAAATACTGTCTATTTTAAAGAAGTCCTACTCAAGCGCAAATTGTTAATGTAAGATAATTATACTGTATAAAACTACATCTAAAACCCTGACAATTAATAGTAATGTTAGTCATTACACAAGTACTAAATACCATCGCGAGAACAATTACAAATTTTGAAATTATGACAGCTATTATTCCATTTACAGTTTCTCATGAAATGAGTTTCTTGTCCATTCATAAATGAGAGTATAAACAGTACTGACAGTAAAATAAAATAGATTACCCACAGGCTATGACCTGGCGTGCTATTTTCCATACCTTAATCTACTATCACGAAAATACTCAGAATATATTAAGAGATACCATATTAGTAAATAATGATAACGTATGAATTTGTGGCTACTTACGTTTTAAGTATATAGTCTAGTGACAATAAATCTAAGTAGAGTACTTTGGGTCCTCATTTTAATCTTGAGATAATTTATCAAGATTAATACCTCGTGATAACTATAAACTATTTGCTCAAGTCTTGCAGTAGATACATTATAGATCGTTGACATCCCTATACGTAAGCAATAAATTAATGAGCTCACTTTTTTACATCATGCGTTAAGCTTAAATTCTATTTCCATGTCTCATACGCGAGTGCGCTAATCAAATCCAAGAAAGGACTAACATATTAGTAAAGGATCGGTTTACTACCTAAAGTCTTTTACGCCATTAAATTAATTTTATTTTTAACTTTCAATTTACTGAAAGAAATAACAGAAAAAATGAATTTGATAATCGTTAATAGTCGATAATAGCTGAAATCACAATAACTTCAACCTTATTGAATAAGAAAAAATGAAAGAATAACGTTGACCACATTATCATATGGTGAATGAATAAAATTGTAGAAGATATTATCAATCATAACAACAAATAAGTTGATAGCTGTTTTAAAAACAAGAGCTGCTATTTTCTATTGCAGATGATCTATATACTTAGAATATTGATTATCTTCAGAGAATAGTCTCGATAAAGAGAACGAATCATAAAATTTTATGCCTATGAGTAGTAATCTAAATCACACCTCATTTATATTCTTAAAATTACAAACGCCAAATGATTGAAAGCAAAGTTATTAACAACCGGAAAATAAAATAAAATTGAAACCGTGATTGTGGCATGGAACCAAGTTTCAGAAACTACCTTAACACACAGTTTAAAGCTAACAGATAAAAGTTTTACGATAATAATATAATCCAATTGAAGAATTTGCACACCTATTACATTATAGTTTTTTATGACATAGATAGATCAAATCAATTGTAATTGAATCGAGATTGCCAAAAGTAGCCATTCAATTGGTTATATTAGTTATTTAGCCTTTAATTGCAGTAGCATAATAACATAATTAAGAACCATTCAAGTTATACTATTTTAATTCAATATTACTGAAATGGGAATTTGATCAAGCACAGTAGATATTGCCTCTACCGATACAGTAGAATACAATGATAACGGGAAATGCAATCGCATAATAAATTTACCACTATCAATCTATTGAAAAGTTAGAGTAATGATAGCAAGAATAAGCCGATTATAACTTTACCTTTACCATTAAATTGAAAAACTGCGGCAATAGCAATAGATCAGGTAAGTTATTGATATTTAGTTGCCGATATAACAATCGATAGTTGAATCGAATCAGACTGTTTCTATCTTTAAGCTACAAGAATGCAGTCACAGTAGTGAAATGAAAATCAAATGAATTCTATACCTCTGGCTTTAGACTGCTGTTATAATGGCAAGTATATCGATCCAATAAGTCAATTTTATTATTCGATTGTAATAATATAGTAATGATGAATGAAATTAATAAAACCACTCTTGTCTTAACATACCGAGATGAACACGATAAAATTAGAATTATGAAGCAATTTACAAATACAAAGGCGTTCTATGACTGCAACGATGATCATTAAATCAATGCCATGGATTGACCATGACTTGATTAGTTCTAACAAACTTGTATAGTAGATAATTGCAGAGCTGAAATAAAAGTTAATGTTTGCTTATACTCTATCATCATTGGCAGTTATATCATATTCTTTACTAGCGTCTGCAATTTGAATTTCTGGCTTGACTTCTTCAATAGTCAATTCTACTGACTTTTCTGGGAATTCAATCTTACCATTGATTTGAAGACTAACTCTTTTCTCTTTCTTTTTACCCTCGAAAGTGATTTCATCTTCATTAGTGGATTTTGAGCTAGCTGATTCAGCTTCAAAAGCGATATTAACCGTACCTGAATTACCATCATTGCTTGATATTGCTTTCTCTGCACTCGATTTCACCTCCTTCGCTTCTTCTGCATTAGCAATATTCTCTTCTTCAATTTTTTCTAACTGTGAACCAGTTAAACTACTACATGCACTACCTCGTTTGGTGGTATCATTGGATGTTAAATTAGTCTTATAAGTCGTATTTTCAGCAATTTTTTGCGTTGAAACACTAGGTGAAATAGATTTCTCTGAATGATAAGACCTTAAATCCCTTCCTATACGTGTTAAATTTCGTGAACTACCATTCGTTGGCTTAGTAGAAGTACCGCTCTGTGTTTGACTGAGTGGTTGGTAACCGAATAATTTCATATAGCAAGCTCTGACTTCATCTTTAGATACACAGTAAAAGTAATAGAGGAAGAAGCCTTGCAATGAAGTACAAACGACAAAAAGGACTTCAGCAATATTTTTTAGAAAGACTGGTTTTTCGATATAAGTCAATAATACAAATATCCAAGCAAGACCTAGAGCTGTGACTAAAGCCATTAATGCCCTCATTTGCGATAGAGTAAAATTGCCATCTCGATCTTTGGATAATTTACGAACTTGGTAGAAGATCAAGATGAAAATAACAAAGTTAACGCCTACTAAGGCGAGCATAGGATAGATGAAAAGTGCATCAGCATGGACGGCATTCATCCAACAGCTAGATCATAAAAATAACGATAGTTGTAAAGAGTCATATCAATCGGCGTACAGTAAAATCTAATAATATGGATTATAATATTGAAGTAATTTATAAAGCATAAGCTCGACCGAGAACTTTATTTGAAGTATTAAATCCATCAGCACGCAGTAGAATCTAATGATATCGATTTGATGTTAAAGTGATTTATAAAGTATAAGATCGATCGATAACTGGAATCTATAATACAGAAATTTGCTTCCGCTGTTGAAACGGTTGCATACTATAGCTAATTTAAATTAATTTAAAACTTACAATCCATTGGCATTCCTGCCATAGATTTTGTCGCCATCAGCAATATAAGCTATACCGACTACTAGGATTGGTATACCTAGAAATAACGATGAAAGAGAGGATGAGATAAATTAGAACGTAAATCGGACTTGTTCTTAAACATAGTTGCGATACAGCTCTCTATCATGACAGAGAAAATGGATAGATTGCTTTTTTTCACTTACCAAATCCTATCACAGTAGTGATCAAGATCAATTTAGAAGTAGTTAAGAGATTGACAGTAGAATAAACTTTAATCAATTCAAAGTATAAGTGGAAAGCTAAAATAGTCATCCAGATAATTTTAGATAATAAGAAGAAATGGCTGAGAATAGCGACAATTAGGCAAGGGATAGGATAATCAGCAGATCGTTGCACAGCGAAATTTAATATATTGACGGCAGCTACACTGATGCATAAGATACAGATAATTAAATTGCTCTTCCTTTTCCGTAATTTACTACAAGAAATTCAATATAAGAAATGCTAGTCAGTCAAAGTAACAGTAAAAAAGATTCAATAATAAAGCAGGCTCATAGAAGACTGCGTTATGAGAATCATTGGAATGTTGGCGCTATATCTTCAACATAGTATCCTACTAATATAACTTAATATCCAGTACTTTATTAATTCAATTAATATGGGTCAACATTATTGCATAATCCTTAACTATATCCTATTTACTCAAATGGATCCTAGCTAAAAACTATAAAAACAACACAAAGATATTGAATAGAATAGACATATTAATACCTGAAAGATATTAATGTGAAAAATGTCAAAAAAGCGCCAATCAAGGATAAACCATTACCAATTTCAGACATAGAACGTACGGCTTTTCGAAAAGCTGCTTTATAATCGGTTCCATTATCATTCTTATTGTCTGATTGCACTTTACTATTTAAGTTTTCTGAATTAACAAACTAAGAGAAATAATTGGCAAAAAAATGATCCGTAAGAAAGAATTAAAGTTATCTTGCTTGACAATAGCATACGAATAGACATAATAAGTTTGTTTAATACGGCAGTAAATCAAGTTGCATTTAGAAAGGAAATTTGCTAATTTACCAATTCAAGTTTCAATACACATTTTTCTGGAATTAATTCAAAATTGCCTATAAAGCCCAAGGCCATGGCCTTATCCCAAATTTCTTTAATTCCATTTCGCCGAAAGCCGGTATTGATATAGTACTCAAAATGTAAAATACCCGAAATTTTGACATATTTACTGCTGCTCGGTTGATAGATGCAGTACCAATAAAATTTGGATGAAAATGTTTAAAAAAATGCGCTATTAGTGATCGGATAAGATGGCAATAACTTGGCCAATACATATTCAATAATTAATAGTAGTTACGAATCTTAAGTATTCAAGAATCAATATTACTTTTAGGCAGAAATGATGCTAGCAAATTGATTAGTGATGATCATAATAAAAGAATATTGCTTTCTGATCTGGTAATAGTAGACTACATTGAAGGTTAGAATCGAACGTTAGATTATACACTATCAATTATCTAAAGCTATTGTCAAAACTATGTGTTCGTTTAGCCTTCTAGCCACATAACAAAATTCAGAGCGTCTACATTAGCTATAATTACTTGTCTATTTTATTCCGTTTCATCAAATATGCTCTAAATACTTGTCACGGTACAAAATACCGTGAAGAGTAAATGACTAATTTTAGTGTTTAACATTTATATATGGAGATAACTAATAATGACTTACAGTAAGAACTACAGTAGTTATTATTTTGTTACAGTAAATTATGCTGTATTGCAGTAAGAGTTCTCATAAGGTAAGTAACATTAATTAATGATAGCGTTATGTCTTGTAACGCTTGTAATGAATATCCTAAAGATATTCAATTATAGATGATACTATAATTAATTCTGTGTGTAGGCATACTGTAGTCTAATTATCTAGAATCGTTCAGCAAAAGTCCAAAATTATGAATGATGTCTATTTTAATTTAGCCATCCAATATGAGCTAAATTTCGTGAACTGTTATGGCTCATACATGATAGCTGCTGCCGAAGGGTATTTAAGCTCGGCAGATAGTTGAATAAAAGAGTTATATAGTTGTTTTAACGTAGAAGCAAAGGCGTCTAAATTCTTGTGAGGTAGTTAAGAGATACTGAATCCCGGAGACTATAGTAATTTAGAGATTTGTTTTACATTATCTTTGTCACGAAGTTGGTTTGTGACAATGCTATATTACCACTATTTGAATTGTTGATAGTATTAAATTCGAATACCGCTTTTCTCATTAAGGTAGTCATCAAGATCGAGCAAATGATTCCGCCACCCCAAGCTACTTCAAGGCTCCCAGTTATCTTATTCATTTAAACTAAATTATATGTTGAAAATAACCGTATAGTATACTAGAATTATGCTTTCAAATTTCTAATGACAAATTACGTAATCAAGCTGCACTTTTAATCTTATCTAACAAGATACAAATTCCAATCATGGCAAGAAATAGTGACTCTACGATGAATACAATCCTCGATGACAATGGCATTATATTCAAATTCAAGTAATTTGCAAATTAATCTAAGCTATCTGTATAAAGTTATAATGCTCCAATCCTGACTGATACTCATTTTCCATTAAAATACGTTCTTTTATTGAGCACTTAATTAGAGCTTATCATTAAGAAGCTATTGATTGATTGATTAATTGATTGAAAGATTAAAATATTAAAATCTGAAATAACAGCTGAAAATAAACTAAACCATTTTCTCATTCTATCATCTTGACGTCAATATTTTCACCAGGATTACGACATAAATATGTACAGCTAATATTATCTCTTCATAGATTACCTGCAATCAGTTGGCAAAGCAGTCGGTACAGTATTGCCGACAGCGGTAGGAACAGGAGTTGATAGCTGACAATAAGATTCTGATCTATTACCATTTATCAATGCATGACCGGATATTTTGAAAATATAAAAACACAATACCAATAAGGTTAAATCATTTGAAAGGATTAAATAATTAATTCAATTGACGTCAAACAAAAATATTTGAATTAACATTTAAAAAATCAGACAATCCTAGACGGATTGACTATTTTTATTTAAGTTCACCCTCGAACAATATTGGTAAACGATTTCTCATCATAACTATGATAGTTAATTTTCTTTCTATCGACTAATCAATTTAAAATTAATGTAGATGACAATATAGACGGCATTAACTGAACAAGTAAACTACTTGAGAACAAAAATTCTGATATTGCGTTTCATGACAATCATATCAACTCCTTTCAATCGATGATCAATATTAAGAATTAAAAATAATTTATCTATTTTCCTCGATAAAATTTTAAATATTAATATATTTTTCATTTTCTTTAAATATTCTCATGAAATAAATTGATCAGGTGTGAAAAACTATGTGTAAAGCGTTTTGAGATTTCTTATGCCGTTATCACGCGTCTATACAGCCAAATCATGGCATAAAGTACCGGTATGATCAATTTCTCATAATTAATACATGATGATATCCCATCACTTCAACGTTACACTTGGCTGAATGCAAAATAGAAAATACAACATTACACTAAGGCTAATAAGAATATGATAAATTATTCATAATAAATAGTAAATTAATTATATTGCATATTAGTGATTATAAAATCCTACTGAAAGAAATAAAGGCTATTTAACTTGTCACATAATAACGTGATTCTCCAGAGCAACATACTTTGCGGATCCTATGCGCGGAAGAGTATAGTTTCCAACAGCTCCAAGCATCATGGTTATTATCTAAAGTTGTTATTTTTAGCAAGAGAGATGGATAATAACCCATCAAAAAAGATAAATTGCAAATTGAATATCAGCTTAATAGCAAATCCATAATCAAAATCTTAACTAATAAAGTCACTTTCATCACATTATTTTATCCATTAAAAATACTAGGATAAAATCACCTACTTAATTATCCAATCAGATTGGATAATAAACTTTATCTTAGTAAAAATCATAACATATTGGATGTGAATAAGGAACCGAAGCGATACCGCAAATTTTCAATGGACTGTAATTTAAACGTTTATTAATGACATTTCCAATACGTATATGTGAAAATGGTAGACTTAACTGATGAGGAGATACTACGTTCATACTGATGTGAAACTACAATAAATTAGATTGAGGGTAGAACTACAGAATGGACTTTGACCATATTTTTTATCCTATCATTTAACAGGTCTAAATTTCGAGTAAATATTCAGTTTAGCGTTATACCTGATCGCCGTAAATATATATCCCAAACTCATTATAAGTATATGCGATAAATATACTCTATATATATACAAGCTGTACTCATGAATATATCCTCAACCGTTCATCTTCCATGTATGTTTTTCTGAAGTAGGATTGTATTAAAGTATAAAAATAATCTAAGATCAACAATTAATTTACTTATGCTTCTAGAAATTCGCTTAGAGTAAACTTTAAATAGTATAAATCACATCTAAATATTTATAAGATTGGTTTCAGTTTTTATTTCTAATGATCGGAGTATAAATATTTGAAAGGAACTTCTTTTTTACTCTTTCTCCGATAGCCTACGCGTACCCGCTTTACTTAAATAAGCTATTTTAAGATAATAGAAAAGTAGTCTTTGAAAAATTTATATTCTAGAAGCAAACATGGATCAAATTTCAAAGCAAATTCAATATTTGACATTATCGTAATGTAGGCTTACCCCTGACTTGAATTCGGCGATTAAGCTTAAGTAAGGCTCTTTGTCTTTATATCTATATAGTGATGTATACGGCCGATTCTTGATAACTAAGGTTACAATCGAATTACCACTATCTATAATCGAATTCTGTGTAGCACCATGGGAATTCTCGAAAGCTGCAAGCAGAAAGTCATTTTATTATATTAGGGCAACTTGTTATTTAGTGCATGGTTAATAGTGTCAATTTTATAGATATCTTCCAAATGAATTTACGCAACATTGGAGTAGTCGTCTTAATTTATTTCAGTAAAATAAATCACAGGTGTCGTTAGCAAATTCTAATCATAAATATCATGAACGAAAGTATACTTTATCTACTCACTGGAATAACATTTATCTTACTTGTATAGTTATAGAAAGTGAAAATTATACTTTTAATTTGATAATAGGCGTTCTCTCTCGATAAGACAGTACGTATAGTTAAAAGTATTTGTTGTTATCGCCACAATAATATGAATATGGTTTCATTAAAATCGGCGAAATTTCCAATTAAAATTCTACGGGCATACGAATAAAAATATTAGTGGCAGCAATATTTAGTTACCTAAGCAGAATAACGCTATGAAGAAGGAAATCTTGATGTTCATCGAAGCCATGTTATGTAAGATCGGACAGCTCTAATAAGGCCACTATTTCAGTAAGTAGCGACAGGTACTTGTATACTGTTATAAATGGACGAGGTCGAGTTTATCCTTTAATACCAATACGTCGACCATAGAAAAATCCAAAATGAATGGAAGGGGTTGTCTGTAGTCTAAATATAAAGTAATCAAAAAACAAACCATCATAATTAAACAAAAGATTGGCTTAGCTATTCCTATTCTTAAAGTTTAATACGACTAATAGTGTTTCATTTTTAAAATCATCAAACTGCTATTGAAAATTAATCTAAAGTAAGATTATAAAAATAAATATCAACAACACGGTAAAAAATATCCGACAACAATAAAAAATATGACCAAAATTAAAATAATAAAGCAGTGATTGATTATAATATAAACAATCCAAGAACAGCATTCAAAAATAAGATGAAAGGCGATATTAAATATGGAAGCATGATTGAATAAATCGGTAGAGGAAGGAAATAAAATAGAAGTATAATCAGACACTTCTTCATGTTTAGAAGATAACATAAAACATAATAGGCTTTTCCATCCCATTTTTTTACCTTTAGGGCAAAAAGTTGATATTAAGTCCCGTCTTTTCATTATTTTAAATCGTACAAATAGACTTAAATAAAATACATATTTTCATCTAAAAATATTCTTCCTTTTATTATTTTTAATGCGCCAGCTCGAGTTATAAGCTAGTGTCAATATCGACATGGATGATCGAATTATTCCACGTAATATTTTATCATACGCATGGGTATTATTATTGTTACGGAGAAAAATAAAATCATTAACCTTGATTATACGCATAAATTATATCCAACACCCATTTATTCAATATTAATAATTAAAATTATTTTTAAAATGAATACTTCCCTATATAACCCAAACCCAGATTATTTCTTGAACGAGACATAGAACGCCACTTTTTATCATTCATATTCTTATTAATTAATTTACTCAGCATCAAAGTAGAGTCATTATTGTCATATTAACAAGGTACAAATCTAGATTTTATCACAAGGTAGATTTTTTCTTCTTCCCTTCTTATTCTAAATTCAGATTTCATCAACAAAAGTCTAGTGCTATTAAATGCTAAATTATTCTGAATAATTTACGAATAGCTCGATATTCAATGTGAGATCACTGCTCATTTAATCACGGCATAAGTTTAATCTGAAATTTATGTACTATTATGAAGATAATGATTCATTATAGCATGAAATAAATAATCCATCTATCACTTTACCTAGAAATAAATCTTATTTTAATATTTATGATGCAATAAAATTATAAGAAAGAGAATAAAGAAATAATTTAAGAACGAGATAAACCATCAAGTATAAAAGAATTTCATAATTTAGGGCCTGTAAGATAGTTATTTATTTTGAACTAGCGAAATTTATCATTTTTAATTGTTGGACAGCAAATTGTGCAAGCTAACTAATAAACATCAAGATAGCCAAGACCAACTTTCAGCTAAAATGAAGGCGTCAGGACACAAAGGCTAAAGGTGTATTTTATGAAAAAGTCCACCACCTATGCGAGTATAAATTTTCTATATTTACGTTCACATTTCATCATGCATCATATTTTTCCTTCAATTAAGTAATGTATTCTATCCAACAATTCTCAATAATACAATTATAATATATAATATATAAATATAATATAATACATGTGCCAAGTGATATATAAATGTCAAGAATGTAAATATTAATCATAACTATGCTGTACTTTTAAAACCGGACGAAGAATGGGAACAATAGCTTTACTTGTGTTGAATTGTGGGTATTTGCCAAGTTAGTAATCAATGAATAAATTAATGGAAAAGAATATCGATAGTAATAGCCGAGTTATCATTTTAATTAAATTCAGTGAACCTTATTGATCATAAGCCTGTGTTATACACGGCGCCTATCCGCTATAATATTTCAAGAATATACACGCGTTTTCGCATCCCTACTTTTAATTTCATGTATCATATTTTTAGTTATGTCCTGTCTTCGTAACATCCTTAATGCTTCAAGAAGTAGACTCTTTTGATTAACAAGGCATCAAAATGTTAATACAGACTTTAATTAACCTATCCGAGAATCTACAAATGAAATATATCGTTTGACTAGAAATAAATGGACTTTGTGGGTATTCTGCAACAAGATAGTAGATTTCAATCAATCGCATACCATTTAAATTTAATTTTCCTCTATGCTTCGAAAAACTATTCAACAGATAAGTTAGTCAAGATGAAATACTGTATGATAATGACCCTCTAAGAACATTCCCAATCAGTTTTGAATTGAATATGTAGTTTCGGACGGATTAATTCCTAAGCCGATTAGTATATTTATAGACGAACTTCATTTTTGTTTTATTCAGCCATTTGCAATCGTTGATTTTCAGACCATAGCATTTATCGAACTTTGTCAAGGATTAAATGCGTCGACTAAGTTAATGTTAACAATTAAAGACATGTACGTAAAGATGATTGATGGGCTATTATGTTGCTTTAAAATGGAAATTACATTTTATGTGGGAGGATGACGTTAAATTACTCGTATACCATCAATTACTGTAATTGGGTTCTATTTCAATTTTGGAAATAAATACTAAATAAAAGAAATCATTTTCAAATGTTTTACGTACAGTTTATTTTATGCTTACCCAGCTTGTTCTATATAAATTAATTTCTATAGTGTCTATTTGAAGCAATATGATTGAAATGACAGTATTGAAATAAGTATTAATCCTATGATTGTTGTAAGTCTAATCCTTTTAGCTTAAGTTGGACGTAGTATTGTGCGTGCTATTCCGTCATAGAAGTAGTTTAAATAGAAGCTTTAGATGCATTATCTTAGTTAATCGTTTATTTTTGACTTTTGTTCACTGAAATGGTGAGAAAAAAAAATAATTATCTGAAATAGCGACCTCATCAACTTATAAAACTTTATGACCCCGTTTTAGTTAGTTAGTCGGTTAGATAGTCAACTAGTTTATCAATTGCTATTGAATTGTAAAGACTATAATCTTGGGTGTCAAGATTTCTTCAGTAATAAATAGTAGTAAATCTCTGGCTACCTCGTCTACACAATCAGTGACGCTATAATTATACTATAGTATTCGGTCGTTGGAACTAAATTATTTAGTGATATAGCTAATCTCGCCTCTTTAAATATTTAGATTTTCAAATTTGGCTGCATTTGAAAAAAATATTATATGATTACTGAGTAGCGGTATTAATTTCTCTCAATAGAGGTTTCTACAATGCTGCGCTCAATAGTTCGAGTGATGGCATTGATGATATCTTAACTTCAAAAAAATAAAGATAGCTTCCTGTCGAAGCTTAATGTAAATCTTATCAAATAATTTTATGCTAACTGTTTCATTAGATTTTTAAGTATTTGAGTATGCTCTAGGATAGATGGGATTGAAATAGCAGCCGTGCGTTACTCTTGATTTTATTATAATAACCGAAGAAGTATTGAATAACGATGCGGCCATAAATATTGATAAAGGTAGCATCATTAGATATGCAATACTGGCTAGAAGATCATCACACACCACTAGTGACAAAGTGATCTACACACGCCAATGCTTACGGAGAACGCCACTTACTGACTTAGCTATATTTTTACCATAAAAGATATATTTCGAGAACCATATTAATCATTAGATTTAAAATCTTAGGTTGATGGAATTAGATCTTTTAAGTAATGATATTTTAATAATTAAGTAAAACAAGGTCATGATGGGCATCGAAACTACTATCAGTATAGCGCAAAGAAAGGATGTAAGAAATAATCATTACGGAAAGAATTCTATTCTCATTATACTATTAACCAATCCTATATTATTATCAGAACAAATCCATTTCCTCCAGTCTAGCTATTTAGTAAATCTATCCGATGTTGCTATGGTAACCAATCCGATTTTAACTCGCCTATTAAAATGAATAGGTCATTGAGAGGGAATTTTTCAGAGAAAAAGGAAATCCATTTGTTTTAGCCTACAGCATCGCCTAGACGGATAAACCACTTTCAGTTTGGTCATAGATCATCACAGAGTATAATACTAAAATGAAAACTAGGACTTTAGCTGTTATTTCGTAAAATTACGATAACATCATTTGTCAAATACCTTCCATAGTCTGCTAGCAATTGAAAGCTTACTCCTGTTAATTTTAATGAATTTTTAAAATTTTAATGTAATTAACTATCAACGTTATCTATAATTAAAATATGTAACCTACATAATACAATAGCAATATATCAGATCATTCAATAGAAATAATTAATCATTTTATTATTTATATTGAAGCAGGATAAAAGATTATCTTTCAAGTAACCTTAAATGATGTAAAAACGATTTATCACTGAAATATCAACTACTGTAGTTCAAATACTGAGATTAATAGAGATGTAGACAGATACTGTGCGTAAATACAATATAGATGCTTTCAATTGATAGTATTTCAATTTTATTGCTATGATTGAATGTGTATGCTGAAAGAAAGAAAATTTTAATACCTACTAAGGCTAAGTATTTCATTAAGAATTAGAAATTATAGATGTAATATTTCGCTCACGATTAGCATTAGAAAATATGTATTTTAATAGATCTGGCCTTGACCTACTACAACTTAGCCCAGGTACTCGGCTATGTGTTCACGAAGGCTATATGGACAATTATAATCATAATCTGACTGTCTCAAGAGGTTGCTGCAAGTTACGATATGCTCCAATGACTAATTAGTTATTGATAGATTAGAAATTTTATTTTCAGCTTCGTATGTAATGGATAGGTAAGATAAGGTCCAAACGACTCAATTACCGTATATTAAATATCTAGTCTATAATGACGTCTTCATGCTTATAATATCATTATATATTTTTAATATCCCAATAAACAGGAGAAAAAAAGCAAAATTGTATGATAGTTATATCTAAGTAACAAATAATGCTTGGAAAGTGCCACCACCAATAAGA